CTAATCTTTCATCATGTGCTTACCGTAGCAAAAGCCACATTTCAAAGCATCGCAAACCGCGTCTTACCCAAATAATTGTCTTCTACAGTGTAACATGTATAAGAGGTGGGGAAGATGGCATTGAACGGCTGAAGAATGAGTAATACGGAAACAGTTAGTCCTGATCATGTTATTTGTGCATACCGGAACATATACAACATAACGATCAGTGGGTATGGTACACTTACAGAATTAAGGAAGGATTTATACGGAGAATCATCGACTAATATCGTGTTAGAGTTGTTGTACGACTTATATTCTCCCCACACATGTTTCAGGTCCTTAAACATCACCTTTTTGTCTGGATCTTCCCCAAGACTGGTTTGTGTCATAGTGCACCGCGACTGATCCTGCGCAATATTGATTATTCCCAACTTTCATTTATGAGAAGTCTTACACATGGACTGACTACACACAATCGAAATAATTTGTGAATGACATCTCGCCCAAACAAATAACAGTCTCTGCTCCAAACGTTCATTCATTTTTTCGGATAGCCTGTTCAACACTGGTTGAATGTTGTGGCTGCAGAAAGCACAGCTGTGTTGAATTAAGAACATAACAGAAAAACTTGTGGACGTTCTAGTTAACGAAGCAATTCAAATATAGGTTGGCGGATACCTTAGCTTTGATGACCAAACAGCCACCTCAAAATATGACAGACAGACCTGCAAAAATTCAAAGCAACGTGGTCTGAAATTAAAGTCCCGATTTCTGGTCATCCTTGTAAATGGACTGCCCAGAAGCACTCCATTCAAATCAAGAATAAGAAACTTCTTCTTTGAATCATTGGCGGACGCAAGTTCTGGCGGGCTTGTTTTCACCCTTGTACCTTCGGTTGGGAAAAAATTGAAGGCATACAGCATTTCAGCACACGAATTTTGCATGTGAGATCCAATTTGAATGTCATAATGCGAAATCAAACAAGCGGAATTGGAAAGTGTAAAGCAAAGTTCTGGGCTCGAGAATATATTAGCCAGATTTGTGAGCAGCAGCCCTGCAATAATATCATAACTGGAGTAGAAAAGCAATTTGTGACCGTAATGGTCACGAGGAGATGCATCGGCACAGAGGTACATACACTTTTTATGGTTTCCTTTAAACAATGATTAATTTCGTACCAATAATTTGCTACAGCCCTAAAGAATTTAAAATTTAATATTGCCTTCATATGCAACGAACCAATTACAGTAAAGGCGAGACAAAATGTACCGTTCCCTGTTTCCTGATGCCCCACATCCTTGGTAGCATCAACTTGCAAATCTCCTCTAGTTACAGCCTCATGTGCCTGTTTATTTTCTATCAGGAAAGCAGCATAAGCGAACGGGTCCGCAAGTTTCCCCAAAGCGATCTCCCAGGCAATAAATTTTCTAGCAATGACAACATCAAGCTGTACATACATTCAGAAACAATGTCAGACACAATAGAGGTGATGTTGCCATAAGGGGTTGTCCATTTGTGCACTTACAAATTGTGGCCGACACCTTTTTGCCCAACATTGCGCAAACTTCAAAGTGAAAACCCCGCAACTCGCCGCGTCTGTCTGTTTTAGTTTGTGTTTTATAACAATAAATGTCCAGGGGTGATTTTCATGAAAAATTTCCATCAAAATCCATTCCTAAAAAAGGAAATAAATACAGCAAGTATCAAATGTTAGAAATATGTTACCTTCTTCGGAAATGAAGTTAAGGTACGCTTTTGAAGTTTACTCACCACAGATTGCATCAAACCTTGGTAGAAGGTTTTGTAATTGTCCATAGAATCAACAATGTACACTTGTTTGTCCTTGACATGTGCAATCATGAGCAACCAATGATTTGAATAAACGATTGGAAAAAAAATCTGCAATCGCATACAACAACCAATGTTGAATGTGTTAAAAGCTAAGGCATGTTAGGCTGAATCCAATTCCACTAACATGCAGGTGCAACTCATATTGTATAAGATTGTAAAGGCGAGAATGATAGCTAATGTTTACCTTTTCAGGATTTGTCATGGAGTCGTCATTGCTCTGTTCAACGAATATTTTTTGGTTGCGGGAGATATGCATGGATAGTCTAACACGCATTTCAGCTACAACGAAGTGATTGAGAAGCAAGTATTAGGTCCACATTTTGCAAGGCACAACAGCACATTCAATAATTTTCGTTACGTACCCAAAATATAGGATTAAAGAAAACAAATTGCTTATATTCTTTCTGGAGTAAGTGAAGGTACTGGGTCACAACCTTCACAGAATGGAACAAATTCAAACATTCAACATTCAGTTATTATTTTTAGCGAGATTAGTGAACAAGGTACGCCTGTGCAATCGCATAAAAAACTTACTCTGTCACTGAGACATGTCTCCAGAAGCATCACTTGCTCCAGTTCTTCTCTTGTAATATCAAAGAGATGCTGCCTATCTAGTGTACTGACACAGCTGTGAACAATGATTGACATGAGTGCAATAATCAGATGAAAGCGAGATCAGTGTTAGCCATTGACAGTACCGATATTTTAACATACATCTGCGGGACGAGGTGTCTGACATGAAAGCATACGGCTTCTTTCAATTCATCAGGTGCTACGCCGGAGGCTTGTGGTACACACTGGACAATAAAGGTATTAGCATATATAAAGGAGATTACAGGAGAGCGCAAGAGCATGTCTTACATCTCGTAGAAATGGCAATTCCTCAAATCTCATGTCCATCACTTCGCTGGCACCAACCCGTTGTAAAATTTGACTCACTTTATCCACAACCTATTCATACAAATATTGGGTTATGCTCCTGTGTTGCCATCGAGAAGAAGAAACAAAAAGCAGTAAAATAACATTGTCACATACACTTGCCCCTTTTGTGGTTTGTTCAGATAGTATGACAACATCTTCAAGGTGTGCCTTTTCCCCCACAACCGGCCTCACCTGGACCCCAGCACACTTCCCCCCTTATCCATCTCTTTTATTTCTGAAACTTTTGTATTCGCGTCCCCAGTCGGACCATTGACAGCATAAGAGGTATAGGATTTCTTCCACATCCAACCACCATCTTCATATTTGAATGCCAGTTTTTTTAAGTACGATACTCCCATTTTTTAGGCGTAAAATCCTTTGTCAACATGGTCAGCCAAGAATGGCACATTAAAGCGCCTAAAGAACCTGGTCAGCAACATACCAAAAGGGAGATGTGTTCTCTTATTCTCCCTGCTTTTAATCTTCTTAATCCTGTTGAGCATTGTTGCAATGATCAAATTGCCTATGTTGACGGGTTGTTTGTGTAACATATGCCACAATATAACTCTTTCTAATGCACTAACGGAAGTTATACTTCCGGTTTTGGGTAAAATGTTATGAGTTATTATCAGATGCAACAGCCGTGGCAACACTTTCATATACGGCCCATAAAACTTAATTTTTTTTCCCATGTTCATAACTCTGTCACCATTTTGCCTAATCTCTCCAAGAAATTGTAGGTCATTGTACCCTTTCACAGCAACCTTATGTACATTCTTTGCGCTAATCCGTTTATAGTCAACCGTGTATCCACTGTCAACCAACCCAAACTCTGAACACAAAACCTCAGTAGACAATTCCATGTGTACATTCCTAACCACTGAACGCAGAACAGACTTCTGCTTATTTGCCCTACAGTTAGCATAGAATTTCCTAACCATCGCAGCATAGCACTTGTCATTATGTGCCAGCAAATTTAACAAATTTTGGGCATTAAGATATTCCGTGATATCCATACACTCACCAGCGAGAGCTTCTAAGTCGACCCACATGCCTGCATACACTGGAAGACTCATACAGGCCTCCATGTTACTAGCTATGCTTGCTTCGGGATGCGATTCAAGTGTTGAGTAGTTTGAGCAACAGAGGAAACGAACGCGATAAATCCGATTTATTTGGACCTTGCCGCCCAAAACTGTTCGAAATGCTCCAAATTTCAGAAGGGGGGAAAGTTTAAACCGAAGCTGTTCAGTGTGTTCACACAACAACAGAAGCAATATTTGATGGACTTAACAGGAGAAACGATGAGAAGGTAAAGAAAGACAAGCTTTTTGTGGGATAATTGATCAGGAGGGGACGGGCGTGGAGGGAGGCAAACCCGATTTAGTCAAACGAAAATCAACCCGATTCGGTATTGGAGCGTGTATTCCGGAGTGGGTTATGCGGAAGCCAAACCCGCAAGGGGTTACATTACAATCTATTCATAATAACAAATGTAATTATGTATTTATATAATTTATTAATATTAATTACACATATATTATAAGGGATACTTTCAGAAACCTCCCCTGAATTAGCTTATGGAAAAATCAAAAAATGGATAATTTATGGACGATAGCCAAAAAGAGCTGGCGTTTTATTCAAGAACTTGTTTAATTTCATTTAATCCCATAAATAAATTTGTTGACGTAAATCGATTTTATTGTAAAGGCAAGCCATAAAAGGCTGGTCTTATATTGTACTCGAGTTTATTTTTATAAATTTATCCGATAAATAAATTTAGTTATAGGAAAAAGGATTCTCTGTTGTTGCCTGGAGGAAAGCCATAAAGAGTTCAGAAACATTAACGTAAATCGATTTGATTTTTATTTTAGCCGATAAAAAAAATTTTATTTACGCAAAAATGGGTACTCTGTTCTTATAATGGAGGAAAGCCATAAAGAACTGGTCAATTAATGTAAATCGATTTTATTGTACTTTTACCCGATAAAAAAATTAATTTATGGCAAAACGGGTACTCTGTTCTTATCTATTTCCAGGAAAGCCATAAAGAGCTGGACTTTTACGAGAAAGTGATATTTTGCAGAACATACAAGGGCCAACATAAGCTATTGTTAGGGACTCAAACCAGTAATATTAAGAGAGTACGAAGTAGCGGTCAATTCAGTGAAAAATCATAATTAATTGGTACACGCTGGTGACAAATTTGTGCAGTAAAAGGAGTTATGAACATTCTATCTTATACACTAACGGTTCGGTAGGGCGGCACAAATTGCTCCAATTTCTTCATCGCAAGCGCAGCCTTCACATGTACTCTCCTCCACGTCATCGGCATCCATAGGCCATGAAGATGTTTTCCTCTCGTGTGTCATGGCACAACAAATGGGCGTTGGGTTTAGAAACACAGGATTCTTGACCCATATCATCCTCAGCAGCGCTCGCAAATTGTCACGACAAAGTTTCACTCCCCCTTGCAAGAATCTGGATTTCTTCAACCCGCTCAGCAGTCGGATGCCTCTGCGCTTTAACTCGTCGGTACCAACAAAGATGTAAATGATTCCCAACGCATATGCAGCGTCGGGGTGGCCTGAATTGGCAGCCTCTTCGAGGCATTCCAATGCAGAGTCCACATGCTTGTCCGAAAAATAGTCAACCTAAGCAGTGCAAGGTTGATATTACACTCTTCCATAAAACTGATTGAAATAGTAACGAAAAAGTCAAAAAGTCCAGGCGGACCAGTGGCAGCGGGACAAGAATTATTTAGTCATGACCAAAGCACCTCAGTGATGAGTGGGGGTAAGGCTAATCTAGCTAAACTTAGACCCTAAACTTAAATTAAGCACAAAATAAAGAACTATCCATCTTAACAATTTTTGACCAAGAATAAGAAGCATTCTCTTCTATGTTCAAAGTCTGATCTTTTTCACTGACAAACAGGGGCACTGTTTACCCATCAAACTCAAATTGGTATTGCCACACTGATCTATTAATCACCTCCTGTATCTCAATTTCTCTACTGCCAGATTTGCCAAAATGTTCCTAGAAATGTTCATAATGTGCAAAAAGATGGGCCACAAATGAGCATCTATGAGGTTGTTTTCTACATTCCGAGTTTGCAAACTTTCTTTTGTAACTTTCTCTGCTACTCAGAATTCTTGAAGTTATCTTCATAAGCACTGCTAGCCAGAGAAAATTTCACATAATAGCAATTTTTTGTTAACTAAAAAAGAACACAAAATGTAAAGAATTGGCAATATAGAATATTGATGTCATTGATGCTGAGATAATTCTGCCCCAATACTATGATAACATATTCTTAACCAGACATGAACTTCTTTTTGACCAAAAAATGTTCAGCAGAAGCAAGGCAAGCATCTATGAAGATTCAAGCTCATAAACAGGTGGTGCACGTCATCTTAAAGTATGGGTTGTATATATCTTTTGGCTGTAAAGTTTGCAGACCAAAATCACAATGAAGTTCAAATGAAAGAGATGATGTGAGCTTAGTCTACATATTTTCAAGCAAACGGGACATCAGCGCGATGCTTACCACGCCTTTCCGATACACCGCTTCTGAATTTTTTGCATTGTCTGCACTTCTTCAGGAACCTGGACACTTTGTCGTTTTTGTGCCAGGGGACGATTTCAAACTTCTGCAGTGACACCCGCTGGTATATGGTGTCTGCGTCGGACACCTCGTTAAACAACTTACAGCTGCAAAATAAGAGAAATGATCCATTAAACTCAAACGAAAAGCACATGTCAAACAAGAATAGGCCTCTTCCTGTGTGTATTAAGAGAGTATAACGAACCATAGTTTTGCGCTAAAAAGATCAGTCGACGAAGAAGATGCGACACGTGCAAGCACCTCCGATAGCACCTCGGTCGGAAGGGAGAGGATGGAGGTAGTTGAATTCCATTTTTGTTCGTTGGCCATGTCCGGTTAACTCCTTTTACTGCCAACAGTTGAGTGAATCCGTCAAAGCCCCAAGAATGGAGTAAACTTCAAACAACACGTACTTCCTAATAAAATGCAATAATGATTAATACGGTTATATTGGAGTTCCCCAATTTCTGGGACACCGACTAACCTTAGCGATAAATGAACAGAAATGGGACAGTGGCGCCTTCTCCTGCAAATGACGCAATATTCTGTCGTCAAAAAACAGTCATCCGAAACAGTTTATTAAACCGAACAACGTATATGTCAATATGGTTAAATCATTGTAGCCGTAACAATACACCGATAGCAAGGGAACATGAACAGTCACGAAGTACACGTTCATCGTAAATTGACCGACATTCATCGCAGAGCAAAGGAGCTTCGACAGTGATAAACATTCGGAGACATACTTCGTACCTGTAATGGGTCGTCAACCAACTTCTACAAGTCGCTAGCACAGATATGGCAGACAGGTCCGCCAGGGTAAATGGCAACCAAAAGGTCGCGTCCGATGCATATACTCCCGCTACACTGACTCCTCGTATGCTGCCACGGATGTCCCAACTGGAACCCATTAATTGACAAGAGGCATAAAGAGCTGGTGTTTATTCGCCAAGTGGGGTAAAAGGCATAAAGAGCTGCTGTTTATCCTCTGTAAGGGTTTTCTCTATTATAATATGCTTATGTATTATTTTTTGTTATAAACAAATTAAATTAAAACTATAATTCAATTGAAATATGAGAGAAAATGAGTAGAGGATTGTACCTGTAATGGATTGTAACTTCTATACATAATGTAATCATAAATCAAGAATTAATACTCTTGGGAATACAAAGGGACATCCACACTTGTAGTTGTTTCATAACATTTTTTTTATGTAACTTTCACATATTTGATTTATGTTACACAGAAAACATACTAGGTTTCCTTGGGCCGCTATTTAACCAAAATTTTCCTATACAGAGCCGGTATGTTTCCCATAAAAATACGGTACAATGCATACCCTACAAAACCTGTCAATTTCCCACAAAGAGCTGGTATGTTATGCGCTATTTCTTTCTCTTTTTTAAAATAATCAACATACTAAATTTATGTTAAATACATAAATTTAACCTTCAGAAATTGGCGCCAAATAACTTCGTCTATTGCAGCTTAGGAGTAATAATTTTTTAATCACCTTCATTAGATATTAAACTTCTGTTATTCTAGTTAAGTGTAATTACCAACCACCAGATACATTTGTCAATCAGTTAACGTACGTAAATTTAAAAGGTGATATAATAATATTTTTACGAAAGGAAAACAAATAGGTTTTGTATTTAACATAAATTAAATACGTCAAAGTTTAAAAAAAAGGTGATTGCCCAGTACTATATCCGTTTTGTATAGGTTTCCTCTATTACGAGTTTCTTCCATATAATTAGTTTAATTAGTTACTTATTTTATGTTAAATAGCTAACCTACTAGTTGACCTAAAATTTATGAAAATCGGCATTTTTCCTGCCACAGCAAGGGAACTCCCCAATTTTTTGTATTGTACTTAGAACCCCTCAACTCTAGTAATCATTCTAATAATTTATTCTTCTTTGAAACTTCTACCAATACAAGGACCAAAGGGGCATCCACGGAATAAAAATACCTTGTCACAGATGAAAATAATAGTAATCAGATTTTGACTGCTGTGTTACAAAAAAACTCAAAAGTAAGGGAGGTAAGTGAAATTTTGAGAAGCTCAGGGGATGCCAGTGAAAGTATCAGAAACCTCAGGGGAGGTTTGTGAGATTATTCATATTTATTATTGTGTTCGTTCCGAAACATCAACTAAATAAGCAAACAAATGTGTTGACTACTGTTGGGGAAAACCTATTCCCTCCAACCCCCAAATTCGTGTTAAAGGACCTGTCCGTGGACACCGTGGGAAGGCAGTGTCCTTGTGTTTGGCAGGGATAAAGTTAGGCGGTGTACTGGAGGAGATTAACCTTTGCGAATGGCTTTTTCCTCTTCAACCGGATCGGCCAATAGCACGGTCTGGCCTACATTATATTACAATTGTGGTCGAAACTGTGCAGTTCGTGCTGTCTGGAAGTCTGAAGCAAACAGGGGGCGCCACTACTATCGCTGCGCTAACGCCGTGGTAAGTTCTTCGGTATAACTGATACTACAAATATTTTGGATTGCTAAGGTAGTTGTATTGCAGAGGCCCTGTCGAACGTTTATTGGCTAGTGTGATGAGTTTGCAAGAGCAACGGGGTTTGAAGTTCCCCATCCCGCCCCATCAAGTACCGCCCCCGTCACCAATACACCCGCGACAGAGGTGTCTGCCATCATAGATGAATTGAGAAGCATGCAAAGGAACGTGACGATCCTTAACATTGCTGTGGTGGCGGTTGTCCTTGTTCTGGTTCTGAAACCATGAATTAATGTGTTGCCGTTGATTGCATTCCCTCCGAACCCCCCCTGTACAGTACTGGAATATGGTGTCCATAAGGATAGAATGGGCATTTAGGCTCGTTTAAAGGGTCTTGTAATTTTGGTTGCTACTGCTGTGGCATTGCCTTTTGTCCATCCGTTGTAAACCGGTGGTTGCCGCATGTGCGACTAAGTTGGCCCAACCGGCGGAGTGTTACTGTGTAAATGGTGATTTTGCGTTATATAACATACTAGATTTCCATATTTGGTTTTTGTTTACATTGTGCATTATGTGATTTTCCGAAATGCATGTTCCCTTTGTGTGACGCCCCGAAAAAAAAATGAGTTTGAGAACCCGGAAATTTTGTAATTTTCTAGGGTTTATTTTTTTAATCGCCCGTTTTTCTACATTTTCTTGATTAGAAAAATTCCCCAGATAAACTTTATGAGCAAAAATAGTTTTAAAATGATTTTCCTAATATTGGAGAGTTTTTAGAAAATTAAGAATATATAACGGACGTGGGACCCACAAGTGCGAAAAGTTCGGAAAAATTCGACCAATTAGGTTAAATTCCGGATACTGTGTAAAATTTATCGGGTGTTAAGGGATAAGTAGAGGATGTGAATTGATTGATGTGAGAGGAAAAAAAAAAGATAAGATTGCATTTATGGAGGTGACAAGTGTCACCATTGTATTGGAAATAGCTTATGACTTACTATTCATTTTCTTGACTTTTTGACCAATTGCTTAAATATCTTAAAAATCACACAAAATTCATTCTTGTCTTCAACCTCTTGGCTGATTCTCTCTCTAGCAAAGAAGGAAGAAAAAACCTCTTCAAAGTTTGGCAATTATCTAGCTCAAATCCTCCAAAACACTTGCTTGATCTAGTTTCTACTGCATAAAACCTCTTCTTTTAGTGATAGTGAGTTGTTTGGTGAAGTTGTTTGGAAGCTTAAGGTGACAAGTAGCTCTCCCTCTTGTTTTGCTAAGGTAAGTGGTGGATGAACACCTCTCCTTCCTCTAATGATGTTCAATTCATGATTAGTGGTGTTATAAGATGCAATTTCATGGATTATTTCTTGAGTTTGGTTGAATTGGTGAAGTTTTATTATTTTTGGGGATTTTTCTGTTTTCATAGGGATATGATTGGGTGGTCATGTATGATGATTGGAAATGATGTTTAATGACTCTAGGAGGTGGAAAAAGTGATTAAGTGCAATCAATTTCTGTTTTGGAAGAAATTTCAGAAAATTAGGTTTTGTAGTTCTTCATTCTGCCCGAATTTATTGCACCATGTTAGAGGCCGAATTGGACTTTGCTCAAAACATGAAAGTTGTAGGTATTGATGGGTTTGAAGTGCCTGTAAAATTTCAGGCCATTTGGATTAGTGTAGAGTGAGATATGCCGATTTTACTGTTGCTGTTCTGGGTTGATCAGAATGCGAAAACTGCACTTGTAATTGGCCATTTTGACTGGAATTGCTTTGGATTTAGGTGTTGGTGTCTTCTGATGAAATGTATCTGGATGTCTTAGCTACCATATGCCTTTGGAATTTCGGCATTTGGACCTATATAGACTGAGTTATAGTAATTACAGCATTATGTGATTTGTAAACCTGTTTTTGGTGTTTCCGGTTGAGTACTTGGCACATTTGACCTAGTTGTGCTAGGATTTGGACTGAGTGGCCTTCTACATTGTTGTAGACCTATCTCTTATCTTCGAAACGGTGGGTCTTGCACCTTCTTCCGACAATCATAACGCCTTTGGTACCATTACCGCAAAATGACGTCAAAACTGTTTTTCTGGTTTTGAGCTTAAGTTTCATTTCCAGATTTTTTTTCCCCCTAGCTTGACTTGCACTAGTATTACTTGGAGCTTGCTGAATGACTATGGATGAACTTGTTGTTGTGTGTGTACCTTTGGGACTGGCTGAGGAAATAATGAAGCCATGATGGCTGGAAAAGTTAGCAAATGTAGGGGAAGTGCTGTCCGAACTTTTAAAGGATTTGTTTGCATTGAGTTTGTGATCTAAGACTTGGGTTTGAGTAAGGCAATGATACATGATGGATGATTTCTGAGCCATTGAGGTGAGTGACCTCAAACTATTTCTGAAGTTACTTTTGTACCGTTTTCTTGCATTATTTACTTTTAAACTATTTCCAAAATTACTTTTGAACTGTTTTCTTGCATATCATGCGTGCTTGCATATGAGTGTTCCTTGTTTGCTGTAATTCTTGACTTATTGGCTTGTTATTATTGATTGATAATGTGTTAAGTGCTTTCGATGATTGTTAAAACGAGTTTTCTAGGCGAGTGTGTACTTTATCGCACTCGACCTAAATAAATATGAAATTTTCAATGATTAATGATTAAATGCTAGTTGCGCATGATGTAAGCCTTTGGGCTGAATTGGCCACTGCCCTTTGTTACCGATCGACTCGAGCCAGAAGCGGACTCGGTCGGGCGATATGGTGACCCTGGGTGAATTTGGTATACTCGAGTATTACCTTGTAGTCCGGCTACGTTCGGATGGGTGGAGTCCGGCCAACGTCGGATGGGTGGAGTCCGGTCAACGTCCGG